ATATTCAGTACTACTTGAGAATGATGCCCTATAAACTAGCTAGCTAAAAGTAGCAAAAAAGGTGACAGAAAAGTTAGGCAAAACTCACTTGTCTGACTGCTTATTGATAAAATACAATATAAGTAAATCAAACAAAACTTTGTGTCCCAATCAGATAAGATTACCTAGATAAATCTTTTTCTACCATTTCACTCTGTCAAGAGTTACAATATAAGTAAATGCAGAAATATGAAATGGTCTTAAGGGGTCAATACAGGTGTCTGTTTGTACACATCTCTAAGTGGAAGAGAAAAAAGGTGGCAATTCTCTCATCCAGCCCTCATGACTTCAACTATAAATATGTGATTTCATATGTGAGCATCCCATCCACAAAATCTTTCCCTTATTCATCATCTTCTGAGATAATAGATCTTATTAAGAATAAGAAATGGGTTTTGCTGCTAAGAGCTATTGCTCTCTTCTCTGTGTCATGGTGCTTTTGCCTCTAGTTTGTTTCTCCCAGGATGCTTGTGTGTGCTCTAGAGCAACCTATTATGGTAGCCCTGATTGCTTAGGAACTCCAAATATGTATTCCCTCCTATATATACACACATGGTACTGATGTATATGTGTATTAGCAAATATATATATATATATATGTATGTATGTACATTTCTACATTAATGATTTATTTACGATGATTAAAATGTGTTTAATGATGTTAAATTAGCTAGAGCCTGTGGGTTTGGTGAATATGGAAGAACCGTCTATGATGGAGGCGTTAGCGGGGTTTCTAGGCTGTGTAGGAATGGAACTGACTGTGGTGCATGCTATCAGGTAATTCAATTAAAAAACAAGTTAATCTTTTTGAGTTTCTTTGAGCTTGAAAGTAACAAAGAATGAAGTGCTAGACACTTCTAAAAGTATATTTGGAAGGATATGCATAAATACTGTTAAGGATATGCATAAATACTGTTAGGTTCCTACGTAAAATTTCAAATAAAACAAACAAATATTTGATTGTGAGGCTTGTGACTATGTTAAAGTGCAACAACTTCAAACTATATGCCTTTCTTGAAGGCAAGAAATAGGCAGCCAATTGAAGTTGCTTCAGAACAAATAAAAAAAGTAGCTCCCTTATTTTTGTGTCTACAATGGAAGTTATTTGTTTATTGACAACAACAGGTTAGGTGCAAAGCTTAGTAGCAGGAATCGTCTCAGATGGCGACGACTCCGAGGAAAAAGCGCGATTTTGCGCTTCTGAGGAAGGATCGCATCAGAATCGCGAATCTGAGGAGAGGGAAACGCGAATCTGATGCGGGAAGGGAGCACTATTGAGAGGGCAAACGGAGTACCTGGTCGCTGGCTTCGATCCTCCGTTCGACGACTTCGATCTCGCCGTTTGACTTCCCCGTCGAAGCCCTAGTCTTCGTCCCTCTCTTCGAAGCCCTAGGTCTTCGTCTCTCTCTCTCTCTCTCGCTTCTCTCACCCTCGATCTCCTCTTCGTCTCTGTTGCGTCTCTGCTTCTCCCTCTCTCGATCTATGTTGCGTCTCTTCTTCTCCCTCTCTTTCTTCGTCTCTGTTCTCTCTGTCTCTCTCTCTTTCTTTCCCTCTTCGATTTCATTATTTTGTATAACATAATTTATCATATATAATATAATATATATAATATAATTTATAATTTATAAATTATAAATTATATTATATATATTATATTATATATGATAAATTATGTTATACAAAATAATAAAATTGAAGAGGGAAAGAAAGAGAGAGAGACAGAGAGAACAGAGACGAAGAAAGAGAGGGAGAAGAAGAGACGCAACATAGATCGAGAGAGGGAGAAGCAGAGACGCAACAGAGACGAAGAGGAGATCGAGGGTGAGAGAAGCGAGAGAGAGAGAGAGAGAGAGACCTAGGGCTTCGAAGAGAGGGACGAAGACTAGGGCTTCGACGGGGAAGTCCAACGGCGAGATCGAAGTCGTCGAACGGAGGATCGAAGCCAGCGACCAGGTACTCCGTTTGCCCTCTCAATAGTGCTCCCTTCCCGCATCAGATTCGCGTTTCCCTCTCCTTAGATTCGCGATTCTAATGCGATCCTTCCTCAGAAACGCCAAATCGCGCTTTTTCCTCGGAGTCGTCGCCATCTGAGACGATTCCTGCTACTAAGGCTCCACAAAGTTCTTAAGTACAGGAACATGTGAAAAAAGTTCCATTTGGCCTATAAAGTAATTGAAGTTCAAAGATTAAAACATTATCCAGCCAAATAAATAAACAAATAGAACACTGAACAAATCCTAACTAACACACCATACTCCATACAAATAAAAATAAATAAATAAAGGTAGACAACTATTTATATTATTAAATTTTATTGTAAATAATTTCAAGAAATTATATTCTTTTGGAAATTCTGCATATATATGAGTTCTAGTTTTATTTGATTAAATTAAAAAGAATACCTGTAAGAAAATATTAAATTTGGTTTCTCATTCAATTAATAAAAAAACACCTGTAATAAAACTAATATACAAAATATTAACTCCCATTCAAATACCTGTAATAAAACTAACAGATAAAATAATAACTCCCATTCAAGTAACAAATGAAGCTTTAATTCAGTTTCATATGTGCATTCACTGTGTAAAATATGTGTACTATCAGTTACACGAAGGCAAAGTGTCTCCCGTATCAACAACAAAGAAAACACACAGAACAGAACAAAAAATAAAACTGACAATGTTAATGGTTAGCTCAATCTTAAAAAGGGTATTGATATTGCAAGCAATTTGTCACTCCTAAGTAACCATCACATTAAACAAATATGAGAAACATGATGTTGCAATGCAGAAACACTACAAAAAAAAGTCACTTACGTCATAACTCTTCCACAAAATTCACATGTACAAATTCCAAATCATGCAAAATCAGCAAAACATGAAAAAAGTGCCATCATTCCAAACTATAGAAGGTTACCAGGTTAGCGCTTCAGAATTTTCTCCCCAAAATCACTAATTCAGCACATGTTATCAGAAAACAACTTGACTACTTGAGAAACCACTGTCAAAAAACTGATGTACAGACTAACGTTTGAGCTGCCACTACCTCAGAATATGATATGAACGAACCAACTATTTTAACCTTCTTTCAATTCTCCTCTTGTCTGCCTCCATCAAAAGCAAGGCTTGCCCATCTAAACAAGAACCATAAGCAAATCCCTGAAAATTAAGGGATGAGATGTAAAGTTTTTGCATTCATGAATTAGATTCTATATTACTTTAAGCATGAAGAAAATTTTATGATTTGAAGTTATTTCTGTACCATGTCCTCCCCAGAGGTTTACGCCACTTTGTGAATTGGCCAGAAGTAATATCATTTTATATCTATAAAGTATGATCATAAATAAAAGCCAGTGACAACATGATTTTGGGAAACTATCACAATGATAATGACATAATTAGATAACTGTTCAAGGTGTCTACATCAAGAAAACACGATCACAGACGAGAGACATAAAAATGCTGGAAGAAAGACCCTCAAAGTTACAACATGCAAAAATCAAGACATAATATGTTTTAGTTTGATTGAAATAACTAATAATTTCAGAAACAAGAAAGAGGAAGATGATGCACACAGCCAAGCCCCATGGCAAAGTTACAGTGATGCAGGAGTACAGTAGCCTGTTGCCAGTGACAAACACCCACAGCAACCTCTCAGCCAAGGTTGCCTCCAACCCAAATGACAATTTGGAGGTGCAAAGTATTGAGTTACATGTAACTCAATCACAGCTCACATACATGCCAACAAGCACAAGGAGATATTGTAAAACATTGTATATTGTAATCTGTTAAGGTCCTGCAATCTTTGTTTATGTAACTTTATGTCATGTTGAAAAGTTTAGCAGTGTTGGGGTGTGTTTCAGTTCATGAAAATGATATTTGTCTGTATGTGTGCATCCATATCTTCTTGTTTCTGTTGGGGCATCCCAAGTACATGCTGAAACTAATTCAATATACAGCCTAGCACAGAGAGTAGATAATAAATCAAGTTCCACAACAAAGTAGTCAATGAGAACTTACATTAAGACACAAGGAATCTCTAATTCTGGAAAACCCCATACTTTGTTCCCTGCATCAATACATCCTGCCAGTGCACTCTGCAGCATCACAATAGCAGCTCTTCATCTTAATATTTCCATTCAAATCTCGAACCTGATCGACGAAGTAATTATAGTGGTAAGTCAGCTCCTTCAAGGGAGGAATGTTTTCTGCAGCAAAGAGCATTATGTGGGGTTTACTCTTGTCCTCGTGATCATAGAGGACATTCTGAGCATAAAGGTTAGGGGAACAACTATGGTTGATGAACCTCCCCACATTCCCACACTCTGCTGCATTGATTGTGAAACGCTCATCCTCCACAACTTCACTAGAACTTAACTGTACAACAGGCTTGAGAGTCAAAAGTCCACCAATGAGAGAACAATCACTGAAATTGTGTCCAATATCAAACAAGTACTCATCATTTTGTTCTTTTTCAGCTTCCTTGCCTTCAAGAAGCTCCCCAATATACTCGCATATAAAACTTCCCGAAGGAATAGAAGTTAGGGATCTAACACCCCAGCCCTTTGACTTCGTTTTGAAGATTTCAAGCTGTATTTTCATCCCATGCTGACTGACTTTATTATAGCAAGAAGGAGGGCATTTGCAAGAAGGACCACACTCATATACCAGAGGCTTTGCATCAACGATAGCCCCATTGCAGTTGTATGGAATCTTTCCTCCATTATTGAACATACATGAGCATTTTTTAGCGTCCAAGCATCCACCGATACAATCACAACCCTTGGGAGCAGTAGGGCAGTACCAATCAGGATATTTCATCTCAGTTATATAATTGAATTTGGGTGGTCTCTTATTGTCTATGGTGTTCACAGCACAAATTGAAAATAACTCGTTCCCTCCTGATGTCATCAACACAACGACCCACATTCAATTACTCTTTGTGGGGTTGTATTTTCGGGCACTGATATATCACCAACACAAAGACCCTCCCGAATTTTAAATCTTTTTGATTTCTTCACTTCTTTCCAAGCAAGCTCTGGTTGGCCTGGAATTCTCTTCAACTCGAACTTAAAAACCAGCTTACCATGTGGCCCTACATCATGCATGTATCTCTCCACTGTATACAAGCCATCATAAGTATATGTCAGAACAATCTTGGCTCTTGCATCCAAGGTAGATAATTTTGTCTCTTTAGAACCACGGATTACCCGAACAGGATTCTTTGCTGATATACTATTTTTCAGAGCCAAGTTTCCTCTTTCAAGTTTCTGGTCTTCAGGTTGTTGTTTATTCCGACCAGTTATATTTCCTCCGTGACCAGAGTATATTAAAACATCAGGGTTGTCCAAATCATCTGCATAACCACCTGAGGCAACAATGCTTGTTGCAATGATCATCCCGCCATGTTTCATGTAATCAATACCAGCCTGATAGAGACGATGAATGCCAACAAGAGCAAGCTCCACCCTGTATTGAAACTGATCACCTACATCGACTCCCGGCACTGATCCTATTATCTGTTTGCCTATGTTAACTTCTTTTCCTTTAGCTCTGATAATCTGTGCTGCTTTCAGATCAAGCCTTCCGCTCAAGTATCCTTGTTTCTTCAAATTTGCTTCTTCTCCTTGCAAGAGCTTCCTACAAATAGCTTGGAATAGACGTTGTGTTTCCCTCACTTTGCTACGCACATTACCATGACTCGAGCTATCAGGACCAAAAGGAGGCAGGATCACCTGAAAATCATGTGGTCTCTGACTTGCAGGAGAATCTTCATCTTGCTCACATATGGAAAAATCTCCCTTATCCTTGACAACCTGTGCACCTTTAATTTCATATGAAGCCTTTCCAGAAGGAAGCAATTTCTTCTTCATATCCCTATTTTTGGCATTTGTATCTCGAACATCCCTGTCCAATTCTTCAATGCCAGTCCTTGCTGTCTTTCTCACTAGACTGCATTCCTCTTTAGCCCTCACTGTCTCTCTTGACAGCGTACCCTGCAAAGCAGCCTCAACTGGAGCAACTGAAGCCTTGTTTCCCAAGACAATTCTCAGGCACTCTTCCTCAGTCGGACAAATAGCATTCATTCCACAAAAAGGAGGGAATTCACGAATAGCTCTAACCCTTCTCCTAAAATATTTAGCTTTCAAGTTAGTCTCCTTCGAAACATTGCCATCACTAGTAGGCCACTCTGGAGGAAACCATGTTTTTGCACCACCTGATGGAACCCTCCCATCAGCCATAGAAACAATCTCTAACACAATTTTGCTTTCTGGTGCACCCTCACTCTTCAACACAGCCTGAACTTCCACTTCGTGCAACTCCTTTGACAATTCTAGTGCATTATTTTCTAAAGCTTTTGGCAAGCCACTTCCCAGAGACTCAACAACAGGGGACAATTCAGCCCCATTGACCTTCCCAGCCGCAACCACTACCTTCCCCAACAAATCATTCAATATGTCGGGCAATTCCAACTTCACTGGACTTTCCACCAATTGATGAGATGATGATTCATTCCCAATTTCAGAAGCTTTGACACAATCACCCACTACAACTTTCACCATCTTTTCATCAGCCACCAAATTCTCTTTATCACCTAGTGATGCTACTACGTCAGTATCCTGGGGCATCAGATTGATAAATGAAGCATTCTGTCCACACCCATGTGGAAAATCGCGAACAGCATAAACCTTTCGCTTCTTGTACTTAAGCGAAACACCAGAAGAGGTGCAATAACCACTGTACAATGACCTTTTGTTAGAACTCCCATCAAATAAATCACCATTTGATGAGGAACCCATCCTCCTCAATAACTAGCAAGCAAACGGCTCTTTGTTGTCGTCAAGAAAAAATGCAGCAAATAGAAGAATATGTGATGGGAAAAAATACAACAAATGGAAATCAGTGTAGAAAAGCTAATGAATATGGACAAATATGAACGGGAAAGAAAAAATAGACAAAATTCATGAGATGTATCTATACATTAAAGGTACGAGAAGCTATGAAACTAAACAAATTAGAGTTGAAATGTAACCAATGATAAATTTAGAACACCTAATATGTTAGAAATTGCAGTTCTGGTCAAGAGAACACAAACTGGTTAGAAAGGACACAAATCAACACAAACTGATTTGTGTCCGTGACAGTACTTGAATGGAGAGAGTTCTTGCATACCCATTATTTTTGGTAATAGTGGAAATTTCAAATTTGCCTCGTGGTTTTTCCTCTCTTTCATTGAAGGTTTTCCACACAATGTTTGGTGTTCTATGTGGTTATGTATTTTTTCTTGTCTCCTTAATCCATTGTTGCATTCTTCAGTTTACACCTGATAGTGGTTGGAAGTGTATTTTCCTTAGAGCCAGCCAAACCCAGAACCGAATTGATCTTGGTTGGTTCTCAGTTTTAGACCCAAAACCGAACCAAGCCAACCTCAGGAAATTCCAGTTGGATCGGATTGGCCTCGCATGTCTAACTGTGTTGTATAAAGCTTGACCTATTCATTGTTTTATTTTATTACCATAATGCCAAACAATAGAGACCTATCTAGTATCCACATGAGACTTAGTGATAACCAATAACATTCTATTATATAAAGCATACAACTCATTTGGTGTGAACTTTTGTCATACAACCAAAAAACTACAACCCTATATTTTGTTCCAAATATTTACTTTTGCCTAGCAGTTATTGTATCGACTAAAAAGTAAAATCAATTGCTACCCACTACACAAACACAGACTCTCTCTTCACTCTTACCCACCCATAATCTCCATATTGACAGTTTCAAGTGCATGCGGTGTGCCCAATTAAACTATAAAACTTATAATATTTTATAAAAGCTTTTCAAGGATCAGTTCACGGGTTAGTCCAGGTTACCAGTCACCAACCCCACACAGAGCCAAACTGAATTGGCTGAATTTGAAATTTTCTGGCATATAACTTAACAGAAACCAATGCTAGAACTGTAGAACTAAACCAAACCAACCCATGAAGGCAGGACTGGTTCGGTTCACAATTTATTTGGTCCTTTTGTGCACCCCTATTTTTCCCAGATGTGAAATAAAACCAATTAGGATTCAAATGCAACAAAATAAATTACGTTTGGAATTTACCAAACAATAAAAAGATGCCTACCCATTCTAAGAAACAGTTGAAATGCTTTTTAAGGAGACTAAAATACTGCCAGCTAGAGCACCATTTGACATTGACAGCATTCCCAACAATTAAAGACGGAAAATTTATTGTTTGGGTAGGGGTGTAAATGAGTTGAGTGGAGCCAAACAATAAGTTGATTATTTGACTTGAACTTAAAAATTTTCAAAAATTGTTCTAACTTAACTTGTTTACCTTTGAGCTTTTAATTGAATTGGTAATGAGCTAAGTATGAATAGCTTGGTTTTTGTAGTATATAACTAAGGCATCGCTTGGGAAGTTGGCTATTGTAGTTTTTGGCTATTTTAGTAGACTAAAATATTTGTGTTTAGAAAGATGGTTAGATTTTTTTTAGTTGGATGTGATATTTGTAAGAGAAAAAGTGAAATGGTTATAGGTTTGATGTAACATTTTGTCTTATTAGTTATTTTAGCCTATTTTATCTTTTTGTGGATTTTAGCCCAAAAAGCAAAAAATAGCATTTGCCAAACAAAGCTAAGCCATGACAGCTAGTAAGTTATTCAAGCTCTACTTAAAGACTAATGAGTTTTAAAATATATTCTAGATAGACTTGCTTCTGTAAGGAATCAATCTGAAATGACATTTGACAAATCGAATATGAGTCGAACTTAGAGTAGCTTGATTCATATTATGGCCTACGTTTGGTAGCTAAAAAATGTGCATAAATTATTATTTTTTAAATGAAAAAGGAAATTTATATATAAAAATTATATTTTTTTAAAAAAAATAAAAAAAAAGGAAAATAGTACTGAGAAACAAGTGATTTACGTGAAAACAACAATGGCAAAGAGAACCGAGACAATTCATGCCCAGTATTGATGCATCCTAAGTAGGCGAAGACGCAAATTTAACAATATCCAGTTCCAACCTAACTTGAAATGACTCATAACCCATCAAATAGACCACCAATCAACAATAAACATGAGAAATTAACTGTTTGGAAGCTGAGAAAGTAAAGAAAGCTTAAACTAACGCTAAAAATCAGGTAAACCAAGTAGAAACGCGAAAGAAAACGAGAAATGTAAAGTGATTGAAGTTTAACAATATCCAGTTCCAACCTAACTAAAAATGACTCATAACCCATCAGATAGACATCCAATCAACAATAAACACAAGAAATTAACTTTTTCGCAGACAAGAAAATACTAACGAAAAAATAAAATGGATGAGAAAGTAAGGAAAAGCTGAAATTAGCACTAAAAATCAACTAATTATGTAGAAACGTACAAGAAAACGAGAAATGTGAAGTGATTCAAACGACTATTAAAATTAAAACAAATCACAGTTAGAAGTGTAAAAAAAATGAGGTTTAAATCAACCTGATTTTGAGAAGAAGACCAAGAGATTCTTCGAAGGACTCAATGGTGATTCGTCGGTGGACTTCTGCAGAGAGTTGGGATCGAAAATTTAGGGTTTCTTGGTGGAAAATTTATGAGCGTTTCTGGAAAGAACTCCATGAGAGAGTGAAGGAAAAGTTTATGCTTTATTCTTGAAGCGGAATCACAGTTAGTAGTGAAAGAAGTTAATTTTCATTTGACCACGTGGCACGAAATGAAAAAGGTATTTTTTATTTATTTATTTATTTTTTGGGTAGATTGGGGAGGAAAAAAAAAAAAAAAAAAAGGATTATTCTTGAAGCGGTTAGATGTATGTAACTGAAAAACCGATATTTGTCCAAAAGGGGATGTCAATCATTTTAAAACCTACCCACCTATTTATCTATTTAAATGTTATATATATGTATATTTATATATATTATATATTAATTTAATTATTTCTTTAAATGTCAATAATATGTATACGTGTCACTTATTTATTTATATATTTGTTTAATATCATCAATCTATCCACTTGATTATCACCAATCATGCTGACCATTACTATCACCACCACCATCAGCCATCGATGACTTTTAGACGACTTTTTTAGCCAATTTTTTGATGATTTTTCCGATGTTGGGAAATTTTCTATACGTATTTTTACCACTAAAAAAAGATTAAATCTTAAACCAAATAAAACATGACCAATAAAAATGAACTTTTTACTAATTAACCCTTTTGTTTACTCACCTTATAATGTTTGTCAACAAATTCATCTCTTCTCTTTCTCTCTTTTTTTTTTTTTTTTTTTTTTTTTTTTTTTTTTTAAAATTTTTTGTTTTTTAGGAATTTTAGAATGTATCACATTTAGCAAAAATTTTAAATGAAAATTAAATAACCTTCTAAACAGAGCTAAAATTTAACTCCTTTTCTTTTTTTTTATAATATTTTTAGTATTTTAAGAATGTATCACATTTAGCAAAATTTTTAAATGAAAATTAAATAACCTTCCAATTAAGAATTTAGACTGATTGGTTTTAATTAAGAATTTAATTAATTATAAATTGTATTTTGTTTAGGACACTTAGCTAGAACTTCTATTGGCTTAATCTTAGATATTTTTGGTTAAAAATATATTATTTGTCCAAAAGGGATGTCTATCTTTTTAAAATCTACTCATCTATTTATCAATTTAAATCTCATATATATATATACATATATATATTTCATATTAATTTAATTATTTCTTTAAATGTCAATAATCTGTATACGTGCCACTTATCTATTTATATATTTGTTTAATATCATCAATCTATCCAACTGATTATCACCAGCCACTGCCGACCACTACCACCATCAGCCATCGATGACTTTCAGATGACTTTTCTAACCAATTTTTTGATGATTTTTCCGACGCAGCAATGCTACATCCCACTAAAAGTGGTGCTCTAAAGCACCATTAATGAGTTGGCACCCACTTTTTTTAAATAAAAAAAAAAAAGAAGTCACAAAAACATTGTAGCAGTGGGTCCCATCCACTGCCACATCATTAGTGGTAGCACTAATTAGTGCTCCCACTCATTTTCCTTTTCCGACGTCAGTGAATTTTCGATACGTATCTTTACCACTAAAAAAAGATTAAATATTAAACCAAATAAAATATGACCCATTAAAAATGAACTTTTTACTAATTAATCCTTTTGCGTACTCACCTTGTAAGGTTTGTTAACAAATTCATCTCATCTCATCTCTTTCTTTTTCTTTTTTCTTTTCTTTTTTTATAATATTTTTATTATTTTAGGAATGTATCACATTTAGCAAAGTTTTTAAATGAAAATTAAATAACCTTCTAAACAGAGCTAAAATTTAACTCTTTTTCTTTTTTTTATAATATTTTTAGTATTTTTGGAATGTATCACATTTAGCAAAATTTTTAAATGAAAATTAAATAACCTTCTAAGCAGAGCTAAAATTTAACTCCTTTTCTTTTTTTATAATATTATTTAGTATTTTAGGAATGTATCACATTTAGCAAAATTTTTAAATGAAAATTAAATAACCTTCTAATCAAGGCTAAAATTTAACTCATTTGAACGTAGAGCTCACCCCAGTTTACATAATATAATCACATTGGTTAATCTAACATGTGTCACATCATATGACATTAAAAAAATGATGAATATAATGAAAATAATAATTTATTTACATTGAAAATAAATATTTTTAAAAATATCCTTAAAAGCTTCTAAACAGGCTAATTTAACATGTGTCACATGACATTAAAAAAAATGATGAATATAATAAAAATAATAATTTATTTACATTGAAAAGAAATATTTTTAAAAATATCCCTGGAAGCTTCTAGACAGACTTAGGGCCGGCCTTGAGATTTAGAGGGCCTAAGGAAAATTTCGAAAATGGGGGCCTCTCTTACATTGAAAAAAAAGGTAATAAATAAAACGATTAGTTACAATTTTTTTATTTGTTTGTAGCCACAAAAAAAATTACTTGCACATATAATCATTAAAATTATAAACAAAACAACTTAATGAAACAAAATTAGGTTAAAAAAATTAAGAAAAAATTATTCAATTAAAACTGATAAAGACCTAGGTAAAAAAATTAGGGTAAAATTATTTATTGGGTAAAATTATTTATTCCACTAAAATTTAATAGATAAAGAAGGTAAAAATAAATAAATTTAGGGCCCATATATTGTATGTATTATTATTCTTGGGCCCAAACGCTTTTTTTTTAAATATATATTTTCCTTTTAATAAATATGGGCCAAACTATACTTACAAATACATATGGGCTAAACCATACATGGACCCAATAAAAATATTTTGGGGCCCACTAAATTGATCCTAAAAAAAAAAAAAAACAACAACAACAACATTGAGCCTATAACATTTTACTAAATTTGAGACTCTATTTTTGGGCCAAAATTTTGGGGCCTAAGGCAGAGGCCTTACCGCCCTTAGGCCAGGGCTGGCCTTGGACACACTAGTTAGTCTCACATGACATTAAAAAAATATGAATATAATAAAAATAATAGTTTATTTACATTGAAGAGAAATATTTTTAAAAATATATTTGGAACCTTCTAGACAATAAAAATAATAATTTATTTACATTGAAAAGAAATATTTTTAAAAATATCCTTGGAAGCTTCAAGGCACTATTTCTTAGATAGAAGAAAAGCTTTATTAAACACACCTATATTAAAACATGCTTTGATTTAAGAAAAATTAAATTTGACCTATTTAACTTAAAATAATTACAAAATAATGGAAGTGCAGCTTTTTTGTGAGTAAAGAAAACTCAGCAAGTTACACCACCAAAAGATTCTCACATTTTTGTTATTTTTCCACCACCTCCCATTGATTAGTAATTTCTCCTCTCCAATAGGATTGATTTGAACATTGGAATATCCAATTTTGGGTTAAATTACCGTAACCAAATCTTCTTCTTTTTTTTAAAGATTGTAGGATATTAGTTTTTTAGTAAAATTAGATTACAACTAAAGGTGTAATAACCACATTCCGTAATCTGCTATTAATCAGTAATTAAGAATGCTAATTAAGTGTTTAAGATGAAATTATGTGTTTATTGTGTGATTTATGTCATATTTGAAACTGTATGTTAGTTGTAGGATTATCTGTTGAGAATTCTGCTTTGTTACGGAAATTGAAGGCTTTAATGGCGTTAGAACACGAAATTGACTAGGTTAATAAGTTGTTTGGAAATTTTAGAATTTTATGGCAAGTTTAATTAGATTTTTGATTTGGATCCAAATAATTAGAATAAATTAATTAGCTTAAGTTAATTAAAACTATATCAATGTGATGTAATGAGCTTAGCTCATTTTGTTGAGCTCAAAACCTATCTAGAGAGCCTTAAAGAAAGAGATAGACTACACTTTGAGAGAGATTATCATCTAGAGTAGAGGAAATGAAGAATTGTCAAGGAATTAAAGGAGATTTGAGAAGATCTAGCTAATAAACTCTAAATCCAAGCTCTAGGTAAGATCATCACTCAAAATTTTTGTAGAATTCACCATGTAAAAGTTAAATTCATGAAGTTATGAGGCCTTTTACATGGATTGAGAAGAATGCGTTAGGATCACCATGAATGCAGTCAATACGGGTTGAATTGGAACATGCATGTACAATTCATCATTTTCAAGCTTGATTTTCAAAGAATTCACACATGCATGAGGGTTTTACTTGTTATCCTAAAGGATTTTACATAATTCTCCACTCAACACCTCATATGTTCATGATTTAAAGGAAAAGAATCTACCTTGTTATATGCATGGTTGAGAAATAAAGTTTTAAATTTGCTTTTGAGGAATTACCATGATTTTGAGCTTTGATTTTGCACTTTTGGCTTTGTGTTCATGTTTTGGATGAAGTTCTACGAGTTTTTCAATGTTATGGCTCAACCATGCAAGTTGAAGTTTTGGAATTTGTGTTTTGAACTTAAAAGTCAATTCTAGAAATTGAGGGAATTATGGTTGATAGTGGAATTAGACTACGGTCCCGTGGACGTACTTCATATTGAGGGAATCATGTAAAAATTCTTGTATTGTTATCGATTTGATTTTTCTGCATTACTTTTATTTCCTTCAATTGATTTACACTTGTGTCAATTATCACAACAGTTGGGGAGATTGGAGCGGATGTGGTCCATAGAATTAAGGCAGGATGACTTAAGTGCAGGAGTGTATCTGGGGTACAGTACGATAAATGAGTACCCACTAGACTAAAACGGAAGTTCTGTAGAATGACTATTAGACCAACGATGTTGTATGGGTTAAAATGTTGGGCAACTAAGAAACAACATATAGATAAGATGAGTGTTGCTGAGATAAGGACACTAAGGTGGATGCGTGGCAAGACTAAAACAGGTAGAGTTAGGGATGAGTATATTTGAGAATGGGTATGAGTAGTATCAATAGAAGATAAGTTGAGAGAGAATAGATTGAGATGGTTTGGTCATATACAACAGAGACCAACAGAGGCAGCGGTGAAAAGATGCGATATAGTGACGGTAGATGAAAGTGTTAGGGAGAGGTAGACCTAGATTGATGTGGGCTAGTGTAATAAATAGAGATATGAACCTCCTTAATTTGACTAACGAAATGGCCTTGGATAGAGTCAAGTGGAG